GACCTCTCATTTGTCCACTAGCATAACAATACACGATTAATATTTAATCTACAAGATTAAACATTTAATCATCAATCCACAAACTAATTAACCTCTTTTTAATACAATTTTGGGTAACCGCTATACCTAAAACCTTATTTCAACAACACCAACTCTTCCAACACACTTTAATAATATCATTTAATCTCAAATATTTACCCATATTGCTCTTAATCTCCTAATTTCTACTTAAGGTTCATCCAAACCCTGTTCAAAAACTTTAAATCACTATAAAATTTATAAATTTAGGTTTAAAGGCTTGATTGAACTTTTCAAAACCTTTACTAAAACAATAGGTTAGGTTTTAACCCAATAAAAATGAAAATCAAGCCCTATATTACCACAACCTTCATAAAATTTGCATATAGGAGGAAGGAAAAGGATTGAAAACTTACCCAACAACAATCAAACTCCTAAATGCCTCTAAATTACTCCCAATGTGTAGCCTAACAGCCTTAAGTCGTTTACTATCGCTCCTCTCATTCTTTCTCTTTTCTTCCTTATAAAATCAAACGTGATCTTGCATATAATAAAAACCATATTTCTGCCCATCTACCTCAATGCATGATGCAAAGATACTCAAACATGTTTTGATCTCTCTCCGTGCCATGGTCTGCTTAAACTTTAACCTAACCGTCTTCTACGGCTGTCCAATGATCTAATAACTACATTAGTCTTTCAAAAATATCATTAATTAGAAATTCACATAGATTTATTAATCTACCCTTCTAAACGCTTGAATTTTTCAAAATTTGAAATCTAAGATGTCACATAAACCTTGTCCCATTTTTGTATCAAGGGATTGTTTTATTATTTATTGAGAGACTTGAACCTAGCTAACTCTAATAGTTTGTTGAGGAGATTAGCTTATGATTTATGACAACTTAAGAATTTAAGAGTAGGGAAAGTTATGGTTCGAGAGTGGGTGTAGTGTTGTTTGGCCAAGTCATTCATCACAATTGGTGAGCTTAGGTTGTCTATTTACTCTAACAAATTCCTAATTGAATTATAGCCTATAGTTTTAGTCAAAAGGCATAAGAAAGATATAAAAGCGGTTAGATCATGCCTTCTTATCCTATATGTCACATGGTTGTTAAATTTATGACAAGTTGTGATAATTGCCTTTTCCATTATCACATGGTTGCTATTATTGTGGCAATATGTATTGTGAGATGATATGGAAAGTAATAATATGATTGCCTTGTGTATTGAGAAAAATAGTATGTTTATGATTATTGCACAAGTTTTATTGTTAATTAATAAGCAATTGCATAGTATAGATGTATTCTAATTAATAGGTGATTGTACTCACCCCTCTCTTATAAATTTTATAGGTTCTAGCTTGGATGTTGAAAAGGAAAAGGCTTTAGAGCTTTAGAAATTTGTCATTCCTACTGTAATTCCTCCCCTTATATTTTGATTCTTGTGTATACTTTATAATACCACCAACTAGGGACATATATACTTGCATTATTGTGATGCATGATTGAGATGGTTGTATTTTAGGCCCCGGATTTATGTGTGTATTTTGAATTGATTTGTTAGGACTTAAATACTAGTACAAATATAGGGAAGATTTATTTTTCTCACTATGCGCGAATATTGTTTAAATACAATTCTAGATCTCCTTCTTTTGTTTTTAGTATTAAAGGGTTGAGATAGAGCCAAAAAAATGGGTTGACCTCGCAGGTTAGCTCATTCAACTAGCCAATTTTGACGGCAGGTTAAAACGGCTGGACTGGCTTGTGGGCTAGCCTATTTTTTTAAAAAAATTATTTTATTCTTTATCTTCTTATAAATCTATAATAAAGATAATATTTTTTAAATCTATAATTTATGAGTCTCAAATATATTCTTTACATTTGAAAGATAATGTAAATTTTTCTTATAATTTACACATAAAATTTTTATTATAGTTTGTAAATCAATTATTTATTAGTTTTTATAGTAATATTTTGAATATATATTATCTGTTAACCTCATAAGATCTACTGATTGAAATCATAAATATAAATTTATTGAAAAAAATAATATGAGTTTATATTTAAATTTTATTTCTCAGTGAGAAAGATAATACACTTAAGCAAGAAGATGATCAATAGTAAAAATCTAGCAAATTTTTTAATATTTTAGCTTCATTTTTCTATTTAATTCATAATCCATAAAAAGAAAATATAAATAAATCAAAATTATATTTAAATTTTTTTGTGATGCTAGAAATATTTGTAATTCTAATTCTTTTTCTTTATCAATTTTATATCCATTTTCACTATTTAAACTTATTTTTAGTGGGACATTCAAGTTAAAAAGGTTTAGATTCTAAATTTTTTGAAGTGACGTGACTTTTCAAGAATGCACAATAGACCATTTTAGATTTAGATAGGTGTTGAAAAAAATAAAGCTTGTTGTGTGGGATTTGTCTAATAGGATTTAGATGGGTGATTTAATTTAAATATATATATGATATGTTGATTATAAATTTTAAAAAATAAAATTGTATTTTGTGGGATGGCCTGTGGGCTCACTAGCTCGCCAATGTGTAGGTTGGGTTGGGTTTTCTAGCTCGTTTATCTTCACGGGTTGGCCCAACCCAACTTGCTAAAATGTTAACCTGTGAGATAGCCCACAATTCATTTGCACAGCTCTAGGTTAAGAGATAAAATTGAGAAATATGTGTTATATGCCAGTGGTGGTGTGTTGCACAGGTAGTTTTGAGTCCATTGAATGTAGTCTAAGTGTAATTATAGGCTTTTGGCACTCAGTTGAGAATTTGAACACCCAAGTTAGAGTTTAAGTATGAGATGTATAGTTTTACAAATGAATGTCTAACTTTTGATTGAGTGATAATTTGGGTTTGAGACTAATGCCATTAGCTAGAGTTTAAAAAAAAATTTATAAATGCTTAAATCGCCCTAATTGAACATCGAATGGAGAATTGGGGCAAGCCAAAAGTTGGCCTTACCTGCTATCATCTAAAAGCAATAATGTAGTGTGCTGCGTCGTGAAGACAAGCCGCATGTCTCTCATTCTTGGGCATGTTGATTTTTCAACTATTTTTAATATTTTGAAAATGTAGATAGTATCTCATCCTTCTATAACTTTTTTAAACGACAAAATAGATTTGCTTAAACTCCTTCTACCTTGTTTTCACATAAAAAACTTGGAATCCCAATCGTGTAAATTGTTCCAATAGAATTTTAGAAAATAATTATCTATGATCAAGTAACTTATTTGGTTAATCCTATAATTTATCTAGGAGATTATGATGAAGAGTCAGATTAGTAAAGGCAACCTTTCAATTTTTGTATTAGTCCTTATACATTTTTTTTGGTTGCTTCAAGTTTTAAATTATTTGATCTAAAGGAAAAAATGAGTGGGATTTCATTCTCTTTCATGAATAGATTTGATAATAGAGTTGTAGATTTTTTGACAGCTCTCCTCTCAGAGAGGATATGTTCTTCGAGGCATCTTGAGTTACCTTCATTCTCACTGACGAGTTGATGCAAGTCTAATCAACTTAAATTTGAGTTATAAAATAAAAGTGAAATTGATGTAGGGGTTTTTCTTTTCTACAATTTTTTAATAGTATACTCATTATTAAATTAATTTTGAGCCTTGCCAAACATAATTAAAATAGCTTTGCTAATATGATTTGTTCTTCACGAGTTTTAAAACCCTTAACTTTAATTATTACTTAGAGAAAATTAAATCCTCCCCCCAACCTAATCACGCTAGTTTTATATGCTTTATTTTTAATAAGCACTCCATAAACCTTATCGGGGGAAAGAAGGCAATATAAACCTATTATTTTGGCACCTAAAGATTCTATCATTAGTCAGGGGTGCAAATCATTAGCTATTAATTGGCCAAGAAAAAATCATTAGCTAATACACAGGATTACACCAGCTTCGTCTCAGAAGTAGGAGGAATAATTAAATATGAAGCATTGCATGTGCGCTCTTTATATGTTGCATGCACGGAGGCGAACTTGATAAAATCAGTGATCCTCGCTGCTTCTCTGGCAGCTTTGCTCTGAAAAACAATGATCCTCACTGAGTCCACGAGAGTTGGCTTCCAGAATCCCCTCTGGCATTGCAGATTCAGAGATCGACTGCTTTTGCTTGCTGGCAACTCAAACGACATATAACTAACCTGCTTCAATATATTGTCAGCTTCTTCTCAAAATATGGGAGAGGAAATGAGATAAGATAACAACATCAATGGCAGCACACGAACCATAATATAAAAATTTGACAATTAATAAATTATTAAATACTTATTCAAAAAATATTTTATTGATAATAATTTGATTATAATTTTAACCATTAAACTCTAAGAAAATGTCTTGACCGGATCAGCAACTAATCTAATTTTTAATACCTCGTAACTTCAGGTTCAAGCTGGATGTACGTATACGGACAGACGCTGCCGGATGTGATTTTTTTTTTATATAAAAAATACTAACTGATGTGATTTGGAAGAAAGCAGCGGTCGCGGATTGGCCCGCACAGCTAACAAATTAAGACCAAATAAGGGCCGAGACGCCACGTGGGATGAGGCTCCATGACTTGTGGTGAGAGCTAAAGCTACAGCCTACAAGACGTGGCGTGATGTCATCCCAATAACAGATTCACAGCCCGCTCCCGCTATCAAGATGACTGCGGTGTCATCCTTTCCACGTGGATCCCAATCTCACACGTGTCGCTTCTCGCACTCAGTCCCACGCTGCGGAAGCAACCCCCGTCATTACACGTTCCCCTTGGTATGATATCTCTCTGGAAAGCATGCTGAGCTGTACCTGCGTCACGTCGATGGAGGCAGCCTTCTCTCTCCTCGTTCATCCGAGTCCACATCAATTCACCGGCTTCGCAATACCTCCAGCCCGCGACGGTGCTATTTATACTCGCATTTCCCATTATTCACAGGGCCAGCCTTCTCTCTCTCTCTTCATTTTTAGTTAATCCCGCCCCCACCCCTCTCCTCGTTTCTCGCCTCATATATGGAAGCCTGTATTTCTGAATTCTGACTGTACCCTGAACCCACCACCAAACATAGAATTTCAGATTTGTTTACTCTCCACTGCTTTCTCTCCCCACTCTATTATATTCCATGAATTTTACATCTTCTGTGACCTTTTTCCCCAGGTAACCATCTTCTTCTTGCGATTTATGTCCTTATACTGCAGCAGTTTCGCATTGGTTTCCTGATCGATTCCCATGTAGGCATATTTCCCTTGTTATTATCCGAACGACATAAACCCTTCACCTTCTACGATTGTTACGAAACCTTTGAATTCATTTCATTGGCTCCTCCGACCGAGATCCGAACTTGTTGGGCCATTTTCCTTGCGGCTTCCCCCCTATTTTTGAAGTTACTCGGACGTGTGAGAGCATTGATATATAATTGGTTTCGAGGAAGCGATAGGAGTTTTGTGATAGGACAACGAAGATATATTTTTAAATAATTATCTATGCGTTTTTGGAATTCTGGGGGCGATCGCTTAGAATACAAGAAGGATGGCGCTCCTGCCTTGTCGCGTGCTTTGCTTGACGAGTTGTTTTTCTCCAACGCGTTTCTTCTTGTTCATTGGATTTCACAACGATTCCCAACTTGCGATTACGTGGCCTTTGAATATATAAATACCTGCAGTATACTGGTCTTCCTGTCATCCGCCATCACCCAGCCAAAGTCGAAGCTTCATTTGATTGCGCAGAGATGATGGAGATAATTCACCAGTCACATATCGATCGGGAGCTTGAGTCCCTAATAGAAAGAATATATCCTCCCAGGTACTAATAGTTACTAGCTAGCACCCATTTTCACAATATTAATATAATAATAATAATTAATTATCATCATCATCATCATTATTCTTCATCATGCTCGCTCTAAACTCTTATCAATTACTCGGTTTGCATTTCCCGTGTTGTTTGTTTATGTGCAGGGTGTGCATTGATAATGACTCTTGCGAGGACTGCACCGTGGTGAAGGTCAGTTTCAAATTTTATTTAATGTGCATCCATTAATTTTCCTACTTTCTTTTAAATTAATCTATTGTGGATAGAGTCCCCTGGTTGGTTCTATGCAGCCATTAGCTGTTCACAGCTTCCCAGATTTTAGGGCCCTGACCAGCTAGTCGATGAAATTGTTGATCACTGGAGTATTATGAGTAGTTGGGGGACTAAAAAGACTCTGGACATGTCTAATGTGGCAATATATATCCCAATTTAACCGGATGGTCATATATTATACTCAAGGAATAAATATCAACATCATCAGTGGGGGCGAAAACGAAGTAAGGAAGGAAAGTCGACGTAATGTGATGGGTGGGCCCTTGCTTTCTGAACTGCAGAACCCTCTGCCCATCACAAAATTAGGATACGTTTTGAAAACGGGAAAGGATTGAACAATCCTCCGAAGCTGTACGTAGCTACTTGCACAAAGTTGATTTCATGTTTGGCTTGACGTTTAAATAAGAAACCAAATATGGGAGGTTAGTCTTTGAAAATAACGCAATCCAATATTGGAGTGAAACCTCTAGAAGATGCCCGCGAGGCCAAAACAAAGAGAGCGACAATTTGTGGGTGGGTTTGAGATCATTCTGGCTTCATAGAAACCAACAGATCTTATTTATGTATAATTAGAGTTCAAGCATGCAAGCGGTGCAAAAACGATATTATGCATGTATATCTCATTGGGCTTGATGAATGACTGTGTGCCACACAAACAGGTCGATAGTGCAAACAAAGATGGAATATTATTGGAAATGGTGCAGGTGTTGACGGATCTTGACCTGGTTATCTCCAAATCATTCATCTCTTCAGATGGTGGATGGTTTATGGACGGTAAGTGTTTCTTCCTCGCTGTATAGCCGCACTATTATATTATTTGTTCTTGTTTTGCGATACATGGATTTTTGTGCGTTTTTAAGAATTGAAAAGAAAAAAACTGGCGGTGTTATCTTGTATGTGAGACATGCAAGAGTCATTCACTCATAAGACATGACTACGATTTAACATCATCTCCTTGACTGATCCTTGTGGCGGTTGGCTTCTGACATGTGATCGCAGTGTTCCATGTGACCGATTCGTTCGGCAACAAACTCATTGACGAGAGCCTCATGCTCCACATTCAAAAGGTCTCTCTCTTCTCTTCCCTCTCCATGAAGCAATTTTTTTTTTAAAAATATATCCCATGAAAATAAAGTAAAAATGGAGACAAAAATTTTATGCCTGAATAGTGTAAGAAAAGAGAGAATATATATATTGGAGAAATTGCAGGCTCTTTGTGCAAGTAGACGGGGAGAAATATCGAGAGAGAAACAAGCAAATGGTTGGAAGGAGCAAGAAAACGTAGACGTGTGGGGGAAGAAGACGGCAGTAGAGTTGACTGGAACTGATGGGCCGGGTTTACTGTCAGAAATATCAGCCGTACTCGTAGAATTGAGCTGCAACGTCACCTCCGCCATAGCCTGGACCCACAATGACAGAGCGGCCTGCATCATCCATGTGGAGGATGCTTCCACATCCGAGCCCATCAGCGACCCAATCAGATTGGCCCACGTAGAGAGGCACTTAGAGTGCGTATTGGAGGCCCACGGCGAGAAGAGGAGCGTGAGGCTCAACACCTTGTCCGCCGGGCGCACTCACACGGAGCGGCGGCTCCACCAGTTGATGTACGCCGATAGGGACTACCAGAGGTGTCGGGCGTGCGAGGGAGAGAGCGGAGGGGAGCACAAGAAGGGGTGCGATGGGACCCACGTGTGGATCGGGAGGTGCGAGGAGAGAGGATATTGGGTGGTGAACGTCCGGAGTAGGGATCGCCCCAAGCTCTTGTTCGATACCCTCTGCGTCCTCACCGACATGAACTATGTGGTGTTTCACGCCGCCATTAGCTCCATTGCCCCCATGGCTCACCAGGTTGGTACCTGTGCATCACTCATTTTACTGCACATCATCGTTTATATTAGCATTGGGAAATAAAAGTAAGTTGATTTTCAGGAGTACTTCGTGAGACACAAGGCTAGTTCGACGCTGCTCAGAGAAAGTGAGAGGCAAAAGCTGACCTTATGTCTGATCGCTGCTGTAGAGCGCAGAGTCTCGCATGTAAGGGCCATAACACAGCACTCGGCTTCAAGGTTGTGTTTATTCCCTTGGGATTTACGTGTTGAGGGGGCAATTTTGCAGGGGTTGAGGATTGACATCAAGACCGGAAACAGAGTGGGGTTAATGTGGGACGTGACTCGGGTGTTCCGAGAGAATGGACTGTGGATATCAAGGGTAGAGATCGGAACGAGAGGTGACAAAGCAGAAGGATCATTCTATGTGACGGACTCATCGGGCGAGGAGGTGAACCCAAAGATAGTGGAGCTAGTGAGACGAGAGGCTGGGGGATCCATTGTTGCAGTTCACAAGTCGCCCTGTAGGATGTCCAAAGCTTCATCTTCCAATTCACCGCGTGAGCAGAAGAGGGGAATAGAGGCCGCCCACGGATTCTCTATTGGAAGCATGATTTGGTCTCAACTTGAACGCCTCTCCGGCGGTTTTGGATCCATCAGATCCTCTTAACTTGCCTGCTTCCACCATTCTCTGTATATATCAGAAAGGAAACTAGCTTCTTCTCTTCTTTTCTTGACTATTTTTATCCTAGTTAATTATGTTTTACCTTCAAAAGGACATTCTATGATAGAGCTCCGCAGATTATATATGGCCCGCACGATGTTTTTGTTTCCATTTCTTCGGTCCTTACGCATTAGCACAGATCAATGCTTGAAAAGAAGTCAGAATGAATCAAGGGGAGCGCATTACTGTGGACAAATTATAACTTACAGCCAACAGCCACTCATGCTCGATCAATGGTCCTTTACTAAAACCTATACAAAACAAACTGGAACCAAAGGAGGTGTAGAGTGCAAGGGTTGTTAGAACAGGACCCTAGTCGATTATAGTTATAGGTATTAATATTTATGCCCCCGTTAGTGTTTTCAAAAGCTCTTTGTCACTCATCTGATGTCAAATGGAACAGTACCTGACTTTGCTAGATCCCCTCTGATAAATCCCATGACATTGTATTAAAAAATAAAAAAAAATCCAATGACATTGCATAGGAACGCAGAAAAACGTGCAACTAATTATACTTGATAATCTTACAACGACATCCATGGAATACCTGTAATTGTGATGTGGTGATCCAACAGTGAAGTTTCTTGACTACCAAACTCCGAGAATGAGAAGGGGTCAAATAATTATCCACCCTTCCGGTTTCGGGAACTCCAAAGTAGGCCCGGGAGAACTTGACTACGAATACATGTTTATAATTTTAATTTTGTTAATATAGTATTTAAATTGATGAATTTATATTTATATTTATATTTTAAATTTAAAATATCATATTTAAAGTTAGTAAAATTTTAAATAAATAAGCGAGATAAGCTAAAATTCAAGATAAAAATAAAAAATTGAAGATAACAAACTTATCTTCAACCTTTAATTGATAAGTGACGAAAACAAGAAACAAGAAAAGAGACAAAATCATCAAAAATAAAAACATGAAGAGAACAAAAGTTTAAATAATTAAAATAAATAAAATTTATAATTATAAAGAATTATAATGAGAAATTGAATTTAAATTTGAATAAAATTCAAATTCAAATCCCAATCCCCACCCGCACTAATCCTAGTACAATATTAGAATAGGTCGTGTCATCATACTAACTCCGTAGTCCCGTACTGCTATGGGATTAAACTAGCATAAAACTAAAAAATGTCAAGTAGTTTGTCCAAAGCTTTTATATTATGTATACATATAAAGAATTGATAACCTCAAATGTTGAGACTCAAATATCAAATCACAGTTTCATTGCATTGCGATGGAATTACTAATAAGCACTGCAGGGGAGGGGGCTGGCTTTATGAACACAGACAGAGTTTGCAGAGGCTAAAAGTTGGGTACAGAGACTGTATGCAAATATTCACAAATCAAATGATAATTATAGTAAAAAATGACTTGCATCCCGGAATAGTTTTGTTGCATTATTACATTACATCAATATCATCAACGTTAAGCCAGTCATTGGAATCCTTGGACTCAGGATTTCGAGTTCTTGCATGCTCAGAACCCCTGCTTTCAACAGAGCCTATATCTTTATCAGAGTTCAGTGAGCTTCGACCTAGCTGTACCCAATCTCGAGAGTCTTTTGTTGAAGAATCGGAACCTGATGTAACTTTTTTGTAACTTACAGGCACATCGCCATCATCCTCCTCAAGATCACTAAAAGACACATCATCATCATTAGCTGGAATCATTGAGGTTCCACTGACACCAGCTATTTCAGAATTATCCTCATTCAACCAATCATCCGCTTCATCCTCAGTATTGTCCGAGAATTTGTTTGCGGAAGTAGATGATGGCTGCTGCACACTTGGTTTTGCTGGCGCTTCTTCAACTACAGACTTGTCAATTACTTCGATTTCAGTGCTTTGGACAGGATGCTTCTCCATTTCAACATCAGACATAGCTAAAGACAGGGCTGCTTCAACAACAGAAGCCTGCACAGGTTCTGATTTAAGTTGAGCATCGCTTGGCACAGAAAGATGTTGTTCCTCCTCCTCTTTTGAGCAAGCAGCGCCTCTTGCAGACAAATCTGGTTCTTGTTTTTCCTTTCTTATTTCATCTAATTTGATTGTTAACATTGCTCTAGCTTCCACTATCTGCGCACAGAACATAAAATTGCTTGGATCATCTGCTAACAGATTAACTAATGAATGATTTTCAAACTTCTAGAAACTTGCAGCAATGAAGTAGAAGAATCATGCACAACACATCAAAGTTCATAGGCTATTACATTATTTGAGCTTAACCACAAGACATTCATTATAATTCGAGATCAAGCAATAAATTTCAAATGAGCATCCTAAGAATAATATATCTCAAATCACTGTAATCATTCCGCTCGCTTGGTTAGAACCATTAAAGGCAAGGAAATACATCACACAGCATTCATAAAACACAGGCACCTGGGTGTGTTGATCTATGACAATTCCTAACTTAGTCAAAATAATAGATAAATGAAAATAAATTAATTCCAAGTAAGCTTTAACTCACTTCTGGGGATGATAGAAGTTCAGCATCCTGTTTGTTGAGCCTAGGGCGAAGAAGTACAAAATAAATCTTCCAAAAGCAACCATCGCTCATATATCCAGGGCACAGTTCCATCCTAAGAGCAGCTAATCTTGGAGCCAGACGTTCAACAGCCAGAGCATGTTCTTGTTGAGCATCAGACAATTCAAAATCTGCCGAAGATAAATGAAAAGAAGAACATCTCAGACTAATGAATAGTTATCCTTATGACGATCCGGGGAACATATGGACCCTTATTTTCGGCCGTTGGGGTGATTCAGATTATCAAACTTAAGAAACTAAATGAACATGCAAGTTGTACATTAGAAAAAACGCACATTAAAAAGGGCAAAGGAAAAATATTCAGGTGGCCTGAATCCTCCCAATCTTCATGGAGTCAGTAATATTGGATTAATGGAGCCAAAAAAAAAAAAATTCAGAGTTAACTCAGAAATCACATATGGAGGAATTGATTTTCACTTCACCGATGGCACTAAAATCACTATCTTGAAAAATATTCAGAGATTTAGAAAAAGGGGGCGGGGGGGACACAGTACAGTGCAGATATCCGATACCTCCATAGCAATAGACTCAATGACTCTTTAATTATAAACGCTATGCGTTTTTCTTACAATGAGGATTCATGACCACCAAGGTCACATTGATTTTAAAACAAGATTGAAAAATAAGAGAGAAATACTTCCGTCAAAATTATTGTTCCCCTGAATGACATAGAATTACTCAACCATCACTTCTACTGACAAAAAAAAAATGACACGTAGAAATCCAAAATACCATCAGGATCCGCATCATCAGGCAGAGGAAAGTCCAACCAAGTCTCCGGATGCATCGCTAGGTTCCGAGCAAAGGCCACCACCTCCTCAGTGACTCCAACCACACTGCCGAGCTCATATTCCTCCAGGGAACGTTCCTCTTCGGATCCAAATTGGAGGAAATTCGACGCGATCTTCGTAATCTCAGATACCGTCTTATTACTAGAAAGCTTCGAGATTCCGCTCTTAAATTTCCCGCTAATCTCCGCAAAATCGCTTCGGATTCCGGAAATAAGATCTTCATCGGATAGCTTTGAATAGGAATGGTCGCTCGATTGGCCATTCGGTTCGTCTGGATTGGGAGCCGAGATCTGAGTTTGAGGCGGTGGCGATTCTGGTGGCGGAGCAAGGAAAGAGGCAACGCCCCAGAATTGGCGTGATATGGATTTGGTGAGCTCGGAGAGATCATCTTTGACGCCCTGTGCAGAAGGAGTAGATGCAGGAGATGATGATTGTGAATCGGATTGAACAGACTCCGATTCGGGTTTGAGAGGTGATTTTTGGTCGCCGCCATGGTTGATGTTGGGGTCAACATTCCGAGTTTTGTCTTCCTTTTCATCGTCATCGTCGAGCCTGAGCGAGTTTGCGATTGACCTTGCCAACCAGGCCATGGTTGATTCCAAGCTATGGGCAAATCACAATTTTCGCAGCAATCTCTCAACCATAGTGGAGAGTACTTAACGGGGGATAAGACTAAGACGGTGTGACCTATAGCTGCGACGTCGTTTTCAGGACACTTTCATGTAGTATTTTTAACAATTATTCAAGTGCTATATTGTAAATATGCATTCCATATTACAAAGGTGTACTCTGATCTTTCTTCCTAAACTTAAATTTCAATACTATGCGAATGTCGTCCAACTTGGCAAATCACAAATACTATTGTAGATGCCATTTGAAAAATATTACAAAAATTGTCACACATATTTGAAAATAAATTTTTATATATATTGTGAGATACACAAATTAAATAGAAAATTTCTCAGGGGCAAGATACGTGCGGTTTCTGAAAAATTTGATACAAAAATAATTGGCAAAAAATTGAAATAAATAGATGAATGAATAATTAATTTAAACCGCAATGCATTGCCAAGTTAAAAATGAATAAGCTTAACCCTGAAGCGATGTCTGGCCCAAAAAAGGAAAAAAACTCCAAAAGTGATGTCTAATAACGAAGGTAAAAATGCATGAACAAATACAGCGCTGCTACTGCTATCTCCTCCTCCTCCTCCTCCTCCTCCTTTTAATTTTGACAAAATGAAGGTCGCTCAAGAGCTAGCCAGACAAAGTTAACAGCAATATCTTCCGTGGATTATGACCAGCAGTCATAATTGGAAGGGGAATCATAGAGCATGTTTGAATCACGTTGGAACACAATGATTCTACCTAAAACCTCATTTAAGCATATAATAAGCGACTCGTTTACTTTTGCCACAGTCAACGTACTTCTAAAAACTTGCATGTATATATTAGGAGTTGAATGAAGGTTATTCCTCAAAATATGGAGGATTATATTGGTTTGGAGTACACTGACATGCATAAATCTGGTTTTGCGAGCGCGCGCGTATACATATTTAATTTCATCTTATTTCCAATTTAATCTATTAGTATTACTTGCACCTTCCAGTACCAACAACGCTTAATGGCTATATCTCGGAACCTCAGCACACAACTGCAGCATATATCCCAGCTGCGCAGTTGATTTCCTTTGAAACAATCGTCTGATCAGCCATCGACTAGTTGTCTTTTCTCTGCCACATATTGTTATTCTTCTGGGTGGTGGTGTACTCGTTTCACATTTAAGTATCTACGTTTGATATTTTTACCCTACCCGTATTAATAATTTATACTTGCCTGTACGTATAGTGTATCTTGAACTTGAATGCTTCCATTTTAGTTTCGCCCACAAGAGTCCCTGTATTTGCCCGAGGGATGAGCATCATCAAAAGAGGCGCCACACACAAAGACACAAAGTCGGACTAATACGTTATAGCCTTGCAGGATATTTATAACACCCTACAGCACTAGTTAAGTCGTTGGTTGTTGGTGGTGTGCATCTAATTAATGACGCGAATGATAATTGATTGAAGATGCTTGAAAACGATGAATAGTGGCAGGCTGGCAGCACTAGCTCTTCGGCATGTATTTGTGGCAGAAATTAAAGGTGAACTCGCCTACGGGGGTCTAGAGAAATAAAGTTGCGCCTTCTCCTGGGGCATGACTTCAAATTTCCACCTGTATCCCTCTCTTTAATAATAATTAAACGGGGAGGGCAAAAACCGAGAAATATTTATATAAGCGGGAAGTACATTACAATATTACACATATATGTTGAAGTAAAACCGTAAAGGTGTCGGACTAAAAAAAGGTTTGGAGAACCCTGCCTGGTCCCAAGCTGGTAATAGTTCCCAGGCTTAACGAGAGATAAAGGAATGTAACACCAATAATATAATGAGAAGGTGCATACAGATTCAATTCCAGGGCGTACCCGAAATATCTTGATATTTCAACCCTATTCCCATTGCTTCAGCTTCCAAGTCCTGCAGGTAGAGGTTAGACACAGGCGCTTGGGGAGGCCAATTGAAATTTGAAGAGGTCACTGTTTTAATGTCTCTGCTCGAAGATTCAACGAAGGAAGAAACAGGCATAGGTGTAGGCGGTGCAACGCTTTGAAGATGGTGAGGCTTGAACTCGGGTGCACCGGTAAGCTGTTGAACAAGATCCCGGAAGTTCATAGGATCGACCTTGTACACTTTGATTGGAGTCGGAGGCATCGGTGCCACCGGAGCCTTCTTACACGGCTTCGATATTGGCTTCCTCACAGAATGGAGCCAGGAACCATGTTTCACATCCCTCGCTTCGTCTGTGACGGATGAACCATGGGAACTGGAATACTCTTGCATCATCCTGCAATTTTTCTGGGTATGGAATGTTCTGCGTATAGGTGACGATGTGATAATGCTTAGTAATAATTAAGCTTGCTGCTGGCTGTCTGGCTTGCGAAAGATGACTACGTATATATACAAGTTTTGCGATGCATTAAAGGAGCAACGATTAAGGCATGTTGATAATTGGGTTTTCAATTAGAGACAACGACTTGATGATTGGGAGGCAGCCGGGTTGGGGAATGAATGACAGAACGAAGAAATTCAAACGTGGGTTTTGTCCTGACCGTCGGCGGGTGTACGTGGTGACGTATGAGAATGAAGGAATGTGTGCGCGCGGTCAAAAAATGCAGTTAGCGGGATGAGCTTTTCCATATTAAAATATTGCTGTGAGCTTGTTTTTATTGGCCGTGTCAACATTTATGTCTCGCCATTGATGAGTTTATGTAGTAACAAAAGTGTGTAGTGTCAAATTGATTGTTGTATGGGATCGACTCTACGTCATCATTAAACATTAGCCGCCACTGTCCTGTTTGGTCGAAGGGGATTTGAAGATAAAATTATTATTATTATTATGAGGCAACTAATTTTTTTTGTTGGCCAAGATTATTAGGCAGCTACTCAGAATACATTTGATCCCACGCCACCGATTGACCCGTTTGTATGTGCTTGACCTCATAAACCGCGTGGCTTTTTAGGGTATTTTCCATTTTTGTGAATTTGCATGGACGTTTGTCAATTAATTTGTACCTTCAAATTCCAAGTCCATCCAATCAAAAGGCGTAACTTATTTTCATTTTAAAATTCACTCTTCAATTTGATTGTTTTAAAAATGTTTGACTGAAATATTGGTTATTAATAATCTAAGGATATATATACATATAATGAATGGTGTCATCCATGCTTTTAACATTTTCTGGAAACGCTCATGGATTATGGCGATGAATTTTTAATACCCACTCGCGCACACAGATGATTTTAGACAACACGTTGACGATATAAAATTCAGTTCAAGTAGTAGTGTACTAGTGTTATTACTAATATGGAATATGTATGGTGCAAAGCCTACTACTTCGTTAGGAAGTGGAAGGCCGATCTCCAAATAATTTAAAGGGGAGGGGTGACAAACGGTGTCGTATTGCCTCAGTGCAGAGCGGAGACAAGCTGTGTCTGATTTGGAATGGTCGTTTCAGATCCACACTGACCCAACCATGGCACGAACCATCATGACTTGGAACCCAAGATACATGCAGCAAATGGTAATGCTACTGCTTTCAAATTTCAATATTAATTAATAGTAAGCCATATTGGGATCTCGTGGTCTTGTAATGATCTCACATTCATATACGCAAAATTGCGGGACCAAGCAGTATCAACACTTGCAGATTCGTGTGTGTGTGTGTGTGTTTTTTTTTTTTTTTAAAAAAAAAAGCGTGCAATTAATGCCTCATTTGCTGGGCAAACACATTCGATCACATGCAGGCCAGCTATTCATCTAGAATTTGACATGTTACGGAAGCTCCCAGTGCTGATGTCTATTGATCTTTGTCACGTAAATAATCTGGGTCCCATTATCCCTTTCATTCATATGAATGAACTCCTGGGCAGTGGATTAGAGCAGGAATGCTGTCAAATTTGAGTAATTAAGGTAATGTTTAGTAAACAACAAGTATTTTCTAGAAATAAAATATAGTTGTTTTTCATTTTCTTAAAAAATACTTTCGTTCTTACCAAACATGCATAATTGAATTAAACTGAACTCCTTCATTTCATGGGTTTTGTTTCACTGGAGATGGTTTCAAGAATGGATCATGAGTTATTGACCCTCCCGTCTACGCTGATGGGGACAGTCGGTTTTCAGTGAAATCTGTCTACCACACTTACTGATGACTTTGTTTCTGCCTCTCTCTGAGGCCATCAAACCACGCCAATTATTGTCCATAGCTGTATGTCACTTCGCTTTCTTGTGGAAATGATTTTGGCTTATTTACATAGTAGTAAAATTAATTCATTTGTCTTCTCATGTTCTGATTATTGCAATCAATGATGGAATCAGACCCTTGCATTTTTGCGGTCATCTCTGCGGTGTGAAACCAAATAACGTTTCGTGATTTCTAGACAACTTCGTTTTTCACGCGCATGGATAGTAGGGAGGATGCAAATTGTAAAGAAGTGACCACCTTGTCCGACTGCTCGTTCCAGCCAGCTTAATCATTACTAGTCAATGTTTTTGCACTAATTGAACTGCTGGCCGTTGTTTTCTACCAAATTAAAACGAAAATCTACACATGTGAATTTGAAAAAATATATTACGTTAATCTGAAAGTTAAGGTCACTAACGTCCAAGAAGGAGTCAAAATAAATTTCATAAATTTTCAGTAGTTTTTCCCAAAAATATTTCATGAAAAAATTTGTCCAGGCTTGAAAGTACTTCACAGTCGACTTTGTCCATCATATGATCCCTTCGATGCCATTTAGAATGAGTTTGATGATCCCATATACGTATACTAAGCGGGTCTTTAATTAATTATTTTTTTCAAGCATTACTCCTATATTCAGGTGAAAAAAAGGTATTACTCCTATTACAATTTTGTGGGAAGAGGCTTGAAGTCTAATATAGGGTTTCTTTTTGCTCTTAAATATTGGTAAAGTTCAAGTAAGAAAATATATGGGTGAAGTCAAAAAAATTTAGACAAAATTAACAAGTTAATTACCTCTTCTTGATTTTATTGAAGTGATTAGAAATGATTTACGACAAAGACAGAAGGAAATATAACAGAAGAGAAAACATTTAGAGGGTTATACCGTTGGGAGTCCAAGGGACATGATCACTGTGATAGGGTAAATATGAAGGGAAGACACGGCGGCTTTGTGGGCGGAGCCCTTTACTTACCTACCATGGACAAAACGAGGGGTCCTTTCCATATCCTCCCAAATATGTATGAACATGCACGCACGAATTCTCTCATGTTAGTAGTATTCTTTTGTCATTCCTCTTTTGGAAAATTAATATCAGTAATAGAACCGATAATTTAGATCAAATCCAATATCCCAATCCAAATCTGTCCAAAAAAAATTAAAACCAAATTTGGCTATATGAATTTTTTTTAACAGGATAGGATACGTTAAGCTCGACATAAATAAAATTGGCCCAAATTAAGCCCAACCCGAATAAACTAACCACCAGAATTTTCCGCTCTATATGTATATAGAATTAGTAATTTTGACCAAGTTCAATGAACCAACTTGAACTGACTAAAAAAGTTAAGACAATGCTTACTTACAGGGGCTTTTTAAAATGGTAGGATACTAAAGTCAAACTAACCGGAATTACCTGCTCTAATCAGTAAAACTAAGGCTAGAAAAACCAGCTCACACACTTTGATCCTTACGCACTGTCATTCCAGAGAAGATTAACATGCATCCTTTGTTGACACCAAAGAAGGAGCTCTGATTGATGCAATAAATACTACAATACATATCTTTACAACAGTTACCACTTATGTCCAATCTCCTATCTGCTGTACAAGACTATACAATAAAGGCCCCACTGTTTATACTCAAACTTTGCGCTCGCAATACAATACATACAGCCTGAATTGTTTTATTCTACTGCATCGTCATTAGTACAGAACAAAGTGATAATAGGCATCGAATTCACACCCAAATATAACATGCAAGAAAGATCTCCGCGCTGTAACTAACATGTGCGCATAACCTGCTTTATGTAGTCTCTTGCTTCTAGTCTGAATCTTTGCGCACTAGGCGGCGGCCATGCTTTGCAGCAGTGTAAGTTGATATTGCAGAGCCAGTCACACTCAACGAGTGTTTAGCAAATCCAAAGCTCTTTTTAGTCGCCAACCAAATAGTCCAAAAGAATCCAATCCAGCCTGACTCATTTGTTTCCATGTCCAAGTAACATTACAATGTTATTAAATGAAAACGAAAGCAAATTAAAGCAATTTGTTGCTGAACATGAAAGGGAGAAGATATGTTGCAATTCAGAATGGTCCAAACATCTCCAGAAAGATAGTCTAAATATTTTGTCAAGAGATCTAAAGGAAAGACTCTGAACAGGTAATCAGGTCTATGGCAAATGTCTTGGCTGGTAAGTCTATCCGCATACAAATCAGCTGATATCAACACATTTTATTACAAAAACTCATCATGAGTCCAGTAGGTGTAACATACCTCTCATCATTTAGGTACATGATGGGATCAAATAAAAATCTTACTAACTAGGTAGAATAGGATAACAAATTAGCTTGGTTTAATTTGACAGTGCCTGCCTAATTCAAAATAAAATCAACACCTTCAATTATTCAGTTCAGTTGAAACTAAAATGTTAATTGTTGTTTAGAATCCTAATTAGAGCCACATCTTGTCCAAGAAACATATGCCTTTGACACGATTGAAGCAACTACGTTTTACAGTCCAGCATCTGGTAAAAACCTCCATAATCATGGGATAGCAAATAAGATAAACCAAATACAAGATCTGGCCAATGAAGAGTACAAGGTGGTCAAACAATTTGTTACCTGTGGTTATCAGAATAGCCACAATTGTCCAAAATGTAACGGCGGAAATAGTAAATATGGCTACTGATAATGCTCCAATATATATAGCCGTTACAAAAGCAAAGAAAAGTGCCAAGAATCCTCCTGCTGCTGCCAAGGACATGAGAAGCGAGATGACAATGGCATTTACGGTTGCAGCCAGAAAGAAAAGTGCAAAGACAAGTAGTCCAGTCAGAGCAACACAAGTAATTGTTCCAACCTGCAGCAATTTGGGAAAACAAAACATGCCGATCAAAATCAACAAAAAGAAAGTTATCATGCTCCATGTTCTTCATATGGTGATTGCACAGGAGGAAAAATGTGCTGTCCGCAATTCTTTTGGAGCTGGGAGAGAAAAAAAGCCACATCTTCTTTTCTTTTCCTCTTTTAGACAGGTAGAGAAAATAATTCCTCATAAGCATTATGACTACAGGAGGAATTCCTGATAAGCATTATGATACCCAAAACAACCACTCAAACTTTACACAGACCAAAACATTAATCTTCTTTTCCCACTTAAACACGCATTAGGTGATAAGTAATAACAATCTACCGTGTTTTCAGTGCCATTGATTCCTACCTTGAATTTGAACAAATGCCCTTGAAGCCCTATAGCAGCATTCTTCTCATTATCTTACTGGCACAATATGTGTTATAACTATAACTATTTCTTAGTTCAACGTCAAACAAGACTTTCTGCTTATTCAGAAGTATCAAAACCCTTAATTTGCAAAAGAAGAAATTGACCGAAATTAAGTAGATGCTGTCCTATATCCTGTAATGCCAATGAGCAAAAATACGTTGTCTCCAATATGCTATTCTTCTGCCAACCTTCTTATAAATGTTTAGAGAAGATACCATAAAAATGCCCCAGCATAAGTACATCCGATGAAATTTTAAGAAGCTTATCATGTATAAAAACAAATAAGATCAATATATATGACTAACAAAAAGGATCCAGAATATATCATTTTTAAAAAAGAGAATAATTTAGTATTATCAAAAAGCAAGTCGAAATAAAAAACTAAATAACAACAACAGGAAGCTTTTCAATTAAGTGATGTCGGCTACCAAAATAAAATACTGAAATTAAAACAGAAAAATTGTATTCCCATCTCTTTAACTTCATTGAGGAAGCTTGGAAAAAGGGAAGGCAGAGCATATTCGCGATGGACATTTTTCCTCACATATCCACCTATCCCAATTATAATCGTCATATAACTGAACAGCAGAGTGATAAACAATTTCAAACCTCTTAAATGATCCGTTAAACAGCTATTTCATGAAAAATTGACAAGAGCTGAAAATATGTTGGATTAGGTGTATGAATAGAAGATACCTCTTCTCCTGTCAGATGGTTGTAATCCTCATAAACTTTTCAACTTGTCATAATCTCAAAATATTGGATAATTTTTTTATTTGAGGAGGGGGAAAACCACTCCTGCCTTTCTTACATGCAGGTATTACTATACCGGCAGAATAGGCAGTCCCTTTATGCGTAATTTGTGCACGGACGCTACTACAAATCAGAGGCTTCGCTCGTGAAAAGAATGAATCAAATCAAACAAAGGAAAATACTCTCCAATTTCCCAAAAGAAGAAAGCAGATAAAAAATAGATATGATTGAACTCTAAATCTTCCACTCAGTGATGAATTTTAATCTTTAAAACTTGTAATTTACAGCCGGCACCAGAACAGACACATGAATGCTACCAAAAACTTACGGAGATGACAAGGAGAGCTCGGAGAGGACTACCACGACGTGTCCAGAGAAGAACATCGCGCCCAGTATTTTTACTAGCTTCGGGGATTAGAGGGGCGTTTTTGGAGACGGAGATCTTGATCCGGTTCAGCAAGGGTGCCGCGTTATCCGGTTCAGGGAAAATAATCGAGGTGATCAGACGGTGAAGAACCCCATACAAGGTCTCCCTCTCCCTCTCCCGCATGTGGGGGCCACCGGAGGTCCTGTTGAAGCTCTCGTCTGTGTCTTCTCCAGCTACGTCCCCATAGATTCCATTCCGCTTCTCCGCCATTCTCAGTGTGTGATGGTATTGGAACTTCAGCTCAGTTCAGTCGTGATTTCTGGCTTGCGGGAATTTTGGCAAGAGAGGAAAAGAAAGAAGGGGTTGTGGGTCCCGTGCTTTAATATGGGCGGTTTTGATTATTATTTTATGTACATCGACAGCACAACGAGTAGGAAACACGTCGGCACGTGACGTGACAGCTCTGCATCCACGTGGCTCATACTCTGGTTGCGTGGAGACGAAAATTTCTCCAATGTTCCCGTCCATTCAACGTCTCAATTTATTCTTTTTTAGTTAATTTGATCTGATGATTAATTTAATTGTCATCTGATCTTGATGCAGGTTACATTAAAAAATTGAAAAAAATTAAATTCAATTAACCGTGCATGTAAATTAATCCCTGAACAAAAGTAAATTTATCTGAAAATATTTCTAAAACTAGTTGAAAAAATTGGCCCATTTGATCGATGAAAAGAACATCAATGACAACTACTCAATTACTGTCATATTCGTTTGTAAAATAACAAAATGTTAATCTGCACACTTTGTGAAGATCAATTTTTTCTTCCTTCTCATTGACAGAAGCCCATAGTGGTGTTGCCTAAAAATAGTGTACGTTTGGTGTGAAGTTCAATAAACAATCATGGCATGGCCCCCAATTGGTTTAGCAAACAAACGATCTGGCATGTCGTTTCCTCGGTCGCTAGATGGTCACTTCGTGATAAAATCTGTAAGGAAAAAATTTTACCCAAATAAATCAAAATGGATCGGAGTGAGAAGCATGGAGAGAATGGACTTTAACTTCAAATCATTTACCTCCTTTAAAATTTGTATAACCTGATGGAGATTCTCGTTGTTAAGCCCCAAAAGATCCTGATCAGCCCTGAAATGAAATAGATGATGATAGTTTTTAACTTATTGTGGACCTTCACTCATGCTTGATCCAAAATAATTTGAAGATAAGGTGAATCAAAAAGGAAAGGAAAAAAAAAAACAGAGAAGTTTGGTACCTTTCTAACATTTGACAGAGTAGTTGGTGTGCATACTGGGCTTCTTTGAAGTCGTTCCTCAATGGTAAGAAGTTTAGCCAGGCTGGAACCACCTGCTTATCAGTAATAAATATAGAACGCTATGATTATAATACAGGAATAAAAGGCGTGCCAGAGCTAGCATGTATTTCAACTATCTCACGAAGATACACACATACAGATGCATGTATATATGTATGTATAGGCACCATAAGTATAACTTCAACACCAAAATAGAGAGATTGAAAGATAATGATCAAGTATTCTACTTATTATGTTAATTAGAGTCTCTCATGCACCAAAAATGGACTTCAGAGCAAGCCAGCACCGATATGAAAGAAGCTGCTTTGTATATGCGGTGTCACAAGATATCCCAATTAAAACAAGCAAAGCACATGCAAAGATTAGTTGGTATTTACGTTCAAGACCCAGGCAATATATATAGCAGTATTTGGAAAAAGACTAGAAAAATGTTACGCACATGATGGCCGTCAATGGTATCACGCCAGAACTCACATATTTTGCCCAAAGCTGAAACAACGGCATCATATGTCATTGTCCTCTCCGATTCAGTTCCGCTTTCTATTACATAATATAGGCTGTCGATAGCCGCTGCACAAATTAAATTCACCACTCATACATGTTCAATATTTACTCAGGTATTACTTCCCTTCTGTCCTGCAGGTAAGAGTGAAAGGCGGTTACCGGGTGCATCAAAGTTGGATACAAGTCCTCTACGCGTAGCACACAAACCGATTCCACGCGCAGCTTCCTTTAAGTTACATTACCCGAATAGAAATAATGCAGAAAAGTTCGGTCAGTATATAAGTGACAAAGTTAAGATTAGAGCTGGCACATTTTGCAGAATACAAATACCCTTTGAAGCTGGGGACTTTCTGAGTAACAAGCGTGTATGACGACTTGAGCATATGTGTCACGATACCTGGTCGAATAACATAGACGAATGAGTCATGAATATTAAAGGCTTATACTTGAATTCAGATATACTACAGCTTAAACCTTTGCAATATATCTGGGTAGTCCTTCAAAATCAAGTTAAAAATTGAGATTGCCACTAATTTCACTCTATCTGGGTAGTCATTGTCACGACCCCGCGGGAAGAGTTGAATCAAATAAACGGTGCAGAAATTAAATAATCAAAGCTTCATATATGTAAGGTGACCATAAATATTTATAGCAGGATCATTCCGAGAAGAATTGCAAGATGAGCGAGACTAACCCACAGCGCTTCAACTGCTGGAAGAAGCTCGTCAACATGAGTTAAGAACGCAGACTTCAATGTATTGATCATTGTCACAAAGCAGTTTGCACCCTTGAACCGAAAACATAAAACTACAACTTATTGCTCTCTCTCGATAAGCATATAAAGGAAAATCCAGCCGCTCATATGAACAATACATACGCAGAAAACAATATGTTCGACATTGAAAGATTAGTAATTTTACTCACTTGAACTAATTCCTCCTCTTGTTCCAGTTTATCCCTCGCGTCAGGAGCCGATGCTCCTCCTCCAGCTTCATTTTGTAGATCGGCAAATGACTCCTGAGAGAGTACTTGGTATATGTGATCAGCAATCTGCTTGATTGCCTCCTCACTAAAAACTGATCCAGATATCTGCGCAAGCACAGTGTGTTATATATTCCTTATATATAGAAATATAAGCTCAAGCATGTGTGTTGTGATTTCAGTGGACGTTCCCACGCACCGCAATGCATGCATTGAGGCTTTTTATCATCACTATACCCTTCGATCTTTCGATTTCCTGCAGTGGTTTGAAACTCAAAGTAGTTCAGCTAAAGAAATTGTGCAGCAGTGTGGGTTGAGATATATAGAGACCAACGAATGATGCAATAATTTTAACGACGACGATGACCAAATACCTCTTCCAAGGCTTTGACCAGAGCTCGAACAGTGAAGTTAATCAAAGCTCTTTGTGACTCTTTTCTATGTTCGCACGAGAGCAGCACGCTTGGAAGGGCTAGAAACAGAAATTAAGGGAAGCTTATACTTAATTAAATACACAACTCAGCGTTTCAAATAATGTTATTTATTACGATGAAATCATAAATACCCTTAACAGATGCCATTTTAGCATCAAGGTCGTCGTCGACACTACTACTGAGAAAGCGGGTCAAAATAGGAGAAACCTAATCATTGGAAGTCGTAATTAGTCGCAGGGAAATGTCTCTCTATGTCTGCGTATATAGCTGCAAACCAAACCAATTACCCTGGAAGCCCAAGGTTCAAATTGTTCCTGGAATCGAACAGCAAACTTTGAAATTAAATCAATGGCCAAAAGCTTCAGCTGAGGGCAAGTCGGAATTTTCTTACTAATGGTCAACTTCCTACAAAACATCAATATATCGTTAGGAATGCTGGTGCCTGCCAACCTTTTACATATGCCTAAAGCTGACGGCAACAATGATAAAAAGAAAAAAAAAATTAAGGATCTGCTTAGAGCTGAAGGGAAGATTTGAAGCCAAACATGAAGGGATTAATATCTTCAAGAGTCGGAATCAACAAAGGCATGATCTCGTTAAGAAATTTGTCAGCTCCCAGCCGCGGTAGTCTGCACAACTGGGACAATGCCTGCAACGTGTTAACTAACTTCTTGTAACCAAGCCCAAAGGAACAAATCATATTAAACTATTTATAGCATAATGTCACGGGCTGAGAGTCTGGCGCAGCACACAGCGCCCGTGCGGCGTCCTGGAGGACCCCATAATCCTCAGGACAAGCCTTACCACGTACGGATCACACTGGTTTCGCCCTGCCATGGGCTCATCAGGGAGGCGGCACTAGCCCCCGACCAGTTGTGCACACAGTCCGAAGACTGAGGCAGAACACCCCCAATGCTAATGTCGCCCCCTTTACCCATATTGTGCGAGGCTAACCAGCGGACCGTTCATTATCTTGGTCTTTACACGGTCACGGAAATATCATCCGTGACATTCTCCCACACCCAATCTAGCACGCCCTCGTGCTAGGGGAGAACGACTCCGCCCAAGGATCGTACGTACAGTACCGCCACAAACACATCAGCTTACTTGCTGAGTGGCCACCCGAGTCCTGCACTCTTCGGACCCACTCGCACCCGCGAGCCAACAGGAGTGGAGTCGACAACGGCCAACCATCCCGCCCGAGTCCCCACTTTTGGACCCACCTGCTCGGAGGCCTTTTTGGAGCGGTGCCGAGGCCGACCAGTCCCAACGTGGGACCCCACGCGCACACGACAGTAAAGTACGTCCTGCTCTGATACCACTCTGTCACGGGCTGAGAGTCTGGCGCAGCACACAGCGCCCGTGCGGCGTCCTGGAGGACCCCATAATCCTCAGGATAAGCCTTACCACGTACGGATCACACTGGTTTCGCTCTGCCATGGGCTCATCAGGGAGGCGGCACTAGCCCCCGACCAGTTGTGCACACAGTCCGAAGACTGAGGCAGAACACCCCCAATGCTAATGTCGCCCCCTTTACCCATATTGTGCGAGGCTAACCAGCGGACCGTTCATTATCTTGGTCTTTACACGGTCACGGAAATATCATCCGTGACAATAAGCTAAAGCAAATAAAATAAAAATACTAGCTGTGTTGTCCAATGCTCTTCTTGGCTTTTATTTTTTTCTCATAAAATTATCTTTTGATTAATTATATATTTTATATCTTTTAAGAGAATTATCATTATATTAAATATGCTTGCGAACATTTAGGCATGCAAACAATTATTTAATTAAATGGTATTGCTGCAAGTATTTTTTAGACAGAATTTAACAACGCAATAATGACCAACAAGGAGTTGGTTATTTTTAAGCATGGTCGTCCTATTATGAAATTCGTCGATTCAAAAGAAAAATATTTCTAATTTTGGTGTCTTACAGATTCAACAAAGCTGTTTTGGCTTTTTTTTTTTAGAAAATGTAATTAAATAGAGGACGCGATATATTGATGTTCATGAAAATGACCTTTTGTTTACTGGGATGGTTAGGAAAAATAGAATATACCTTCAAGATGTGAATTTTTAATCTCCGGTCGGTATCCGTCCAATTATTTGCAATTCGAAACACAACTAGAAAAACCTTGAAAGCGTTACAAGTCATATATATTAGATGCCAAAGTAAAATCAAAATGTTGAATCTTATCATCTCAATTCACATGTATAATAATAATATGATAGAATAAAGTAATTCATACGTACCTGAAGAATCCATGAGTGCTAGAGAAATCTCGATTACCTTGAGTATAGGCAGGTACACAACCCTCAGGTCCCCAGAGCCTTCAGAGAGTTCAGAGATAATGGAAGTGGAAGAAATGAGTCGTGTCTCTGTGGTTATCGACTAATCGTCTTATATAGATCAGATCAGTAATCGACTTATTAAATAATAAATAATTATATTATCTATTATCTCTGACTCAGTCAGTTAAAAGATAGGAAATAACTGACAGCTTCTGGGTTGTGGGTTGGGCCTCTGCCCATTGGGCTCACTTGTGTGGTCCACCTATCACGGTCCACACAAGATCATAAAGACCAATCTATTGGGCTTATTCATTAATTCTAATTCATAAATAATATTCCAACAATCTCCCACTTGGATTACATTAATTAAGCAAGTTGTATAAACAAGCCACAAATAAATTCAGAAAATGAAACTCCACAAAATCACTGAATCCTATAGGGAAACAAGTGATATGATATCTCATAATCTGAGTAAAACATGAAATTTTATTTCAAATACAGCTCAGTAAGATAACAATATAAATCACTGATTCCTATGGGGAAACAAGTGACATGCATAGCGTACCACAACAAAATTATTGAATCCTATAGGGATACAAATGATATAGACGCATCTAACTGAACTGAACATAACTCACAGAAGAAAACAAAGCCTAAAGAGAAATTGCAATATAAAAAGTTCTCAAACTCTCACTAAACTAGGGCATCAAAGGAATTCACAATACCCATACAAGTTACATAATTTTGAAAAACTTCTACAGGTAAGCCCTTAGTCAGCGGATCTACAAGCATCTGCGTGCCAGGAATGTATACCACACGGGTTTGAGACTCAGCAATTTTCTCTTTCACAAACATAAGTTTGATATCAAAATGCTTTGTACGACTGGAATTTCTGTGATTATTAGCATAGTATACTGCAGATTTGTTATCACAATAAATGGTCAGAGGATGTGATATTGACTCAACTAGGCGCATGCCAGATATTAACTTCCTTAGCCATATAGCGTGATGTGTAGTCTTAAAACAAGCAATATACTCAGCTTCCATAGATGAAACTGCCGTAAGTGTCTGTTTCACACTCTTCCAAGAGACAGCTCCTCCAGACAACATGAAAATATAGCCAGTCGTGGATTTACGATCATCCAGACAAGAGGCAAAATCTGAATCTGAAAAGCCAATAATCTCAAAAACTTCTGATCCCTTAAAGTCATAATCAGAATACCCAACAACCTCAAGAGAATTTGACCTTCTGTAAGTTAACATATGATTCTTCGTACCTTGAAGATACCTCATAACTTTCTTAACAGCCTTCCAATGATTTGGACCTGGATCATTTAAGTATCGACCTAGTACTCCAATGGAAAAGGCTATATCTGGTCGAGTACACACTTGAACATACATGAGGCTGCCGACAGCGGAAGCGTATGGTATCTTTCTCATTTCAGCCCTCTTCTTATCATCCTTGGGATACTGTAACTCTGATAATAGCTCACCTTTCTGTACAGAAGCAAGTGAAGGAGAACATGAATCCATTCTGAATCTCTTAAGTACCCGCTCAATATAAGTGGCCTGTAATAAACCAAGAATACCACGAGATCTATCACGATAAATTTGTATCCCAAGAATGAAGGAGGCTTCATCCATGTCCTTCATGTCAAAATGGCAAGACAATAGGTGCTTTATCTCATTGAGAAAATTTATTGAATTGCTGGCTAATAAGATATCATCAACATAGAGAACAAGAATGGTAAAATTGTTCCCATCAAACTTCTAATAGATGCACTGATCTGAGACATTCTCAACAAAACCGAGAGAGATGATAACTTCATCAAATTTTAGATACCACTACCTAGAGGCCTGTTTTAGCCCATAGATAGATCTCTTCAATCTGCACACTAGATGTTCTTTATCAGATTCAACAAAACCATCAGGTTGTGTCATGTAGACTTCTTCATACAAATCGCTATTTAAGAACGCAGTCTTGACATCCATCTGGTGAAAATCAAGATCAAGCTGTGCAACTAAAGCCATTACCACTCTAAAAGCATCTTTGGTGGATACCGGAGAGAAGGTTTCTGTGTAATCAATACCTTCTTTCTAGTTGTAACCTTTAGCTACAAGTCTGGCTTTATATCTATCAATTTCACCTCTAGCTCCTCATTTGGTTTTAAAGACCTACTTGCAACTCACTGGTTTAAACCCCTTTGGTAGCTCTACAAGCTCCCATACGTGATTGCGGTACATAGAGGCAATTTCTTCACTCATAACCTCCAACCACTCAGAAGAATGCGAGCTAGAAATATCCTCCTAGTAACACATTGGGTCTAAACTATCAATAGCATCTGAATCAAATTCCTGTAAATATACCATGTAATCATCTGGAATAGCAGACCTGCGAACCCTTTGGGACCGTCTTAGTTCAACAACCATGTCCCTATCACCCTCTAAAAGTGGTTCATCTTGAGCTTCATTCTGATCCACGGCATTATTTCTGTTAACATGAGGAGTTGTCAAGATAGGTATAGGCAAAATGCTACTTTCGTCATACAAGGTAATATGCCTAGGCACAGAGCTCCCACTGTCTAAGGCATCTTCAAAGAAGTAAGCTTGCTCAGATTTAATTACCCTAGTAGTGTGATTTGGACAATAGGATCTATACCCACGAGATCCAATGCAATAGCCAATAAAGAAACCATCAATAGTTTTAGCATCAAGCTTCATCTATTGTGGATTGTAAGGTTTTACCTGTGCTTTACGACCCCAAACTCGCATATGCTTCAGCACAGGAGTCCTTCCAAAATACAACTCATATGGAGTCTTTGGAACTGACTTGCTAGGAACTTGATTCAAAATATAAACAGCAGTTTTAAGTGCATTACCCCATAAGAATTTCAGCAGTAAGGAGTGACTGATCATGCTCCTAACCATATCCATGAGAGTACGATTTTACCTTTCTGCACCCCATTCTACTGTGGGGTCCCAGGCATAGTAGACTGAGCTTCAATGCCATGTTCTTGAAGGTACAAAGCAAATGGCCCAGGGTTCCTACCAGTCTCAGTATATCTCCCATAAAATTCTCCTCCTCTATCAGATCTCACACACTTGATCAACTTGCCAGATTTCAATTCAACTGCTGCTTTAAAGGTCTTGAATGCATTAAGGGACTCACCCTTTTCATGCAAGAGTTTAATCCATCCATGACGAAAGTAATCAACCGTGAAGGTGATGAAATATCTGAAATCACCTATAGCCGGAGGCGTGATAGGTCCACAGATATCAGTATGGATTAGGTTTAAAGTATTTTTAGACCTCTTTGCCCCTTTGGTTCTAGCTCTAGCAGGGAATTTTTCCTTTATACAGTCAACACAAGTCTCAAAATTTGAGAAATCAAGGTCTCGTATGACACCTTGCTTGATCATGCGCTCCAATCTCTCTCTAGAGATATGACCCAAACGACGATGCCATAACATAGAGGAATTATTATTGGGCTTTTGACGTTTATGCCTAATAGCAGCATTGACATGAAGATTAGGAAGTTCAAGTGACCAATCATTCAATCAATATAAATCATATATTAAGGAAGCAATACCAACATTAATGGAATCAAAACAAATGTCAATTTTCCCATTTTCTTGGAAGAATGAATAGCCACAAATATCCAATGCAGAAGTTGAAATTGAATTCCTCTTCGCAGAAGGTACATAAACAACATTGTTCAAATGTAAAATATGACCAGAATTTAAATACAAAGAAACAGTACTAATGCATTCAACTAATGCCTTGCTCCCTGCTATGCCAAAGACTGACCTCTATGCCTCACTTGGAACCTTCTGGTTTCTTAGCCCCTGTAGAGAATTCACAACATGTATAGTAGCACCAGAATCCAGCCACCATGAGTCAAAGGAAGTTTCAATGGTGTTAGATTCAAAACAAACTAGAGCTAGAGGGGCAGTTTGAAGAGTTGTACCTTCACTTTCTTGTTTGTTCTTCAATTTAAAGCAATCAGCTTTAATGTGACCCGGTTTCTTGCAATAATTGCATAACTCCTTAAAGGGTTTCTTCCTTGACTTCTCACTCTTATCACCATCCTTCTTAAAGGTTGGATTATTTGGCTTTGGGGCATCATGCTTCTTCCCCTTTTTCTTATATGACCCTCCAGATTTGCTGCTAGAATCATGAGAAACATAATTTATTGAGTGAGAGGAATTCTTCTTTATAGCTTCCTCTTCTCGAGTGACTATCGATATCATCTGGTCAACAGACCATTCAACTTCTTGTGAGTTGTATGAAGTCCTCAAGAATGCGTACTCTGATGGCAGTGATTGAAGAATACGGTAAACCAAGGTACTTTCACCCAAATCAATCCCATATGACTTAAGCTTGTTATAGTAATGAACAAGCTTCAGAATGTGCTCCCTGACACCAGAAACTCCGTCGTATTGAGTATTGTCAAGAAGTGACAGATAGTAGTTCTTTTGAGTCTTGTCAAGCTTCTTGTATTTGTTACCAATAGCTTTCAAGTACTCTACTGTAGTATCCTTTTCAGGAATGCTATCCCTAATTCCCTTTTCAATTTTGTACTTGATGATCGCTAGACAGATCCGGTTGGACTCACTCCATTGTTTATGGAAGGTCATTTCAGAAGCACTAGACTCAGAAGAGAAATCCACAGGCTTGGGTTCTCTCAGAGCTAAATCTTTCTCAGAAATGGTCAGATACATAGTCAGGGATTCTTTCCAGTCATCATAATTAGTCCCATTGAGAGCCTTCACAAAGGATAGTTGCGTAAAAGCGGAAAATAAAATCGCAAAACAGAAAATGAGAAATATTAATTATGCGTGCACAACATAATTATAAAACAGAATTCCCCAACAAGCGATTATCAATTATGCAACTATAACCATGCACCAAGAAGGCTCATATACTATAAAGATTTAGCTCACACAAAGGTCCATACAAAATAATGCATTAAACATTTTTATACCTATAGGGTACAATGAATATTTAATATATTAAAGGAGTGCTATTAGCCTATTCTCAAAGCCAACCATCAAAATCACATTAATAATGTTATACCTATAGGGTATGTCCATTATTAATGCTACAAGATCTTAAGCATCATCAATAATTCACAACGTCACAAATTTTATAACCTTAGGACAAAACAAAATAATTTTAAAAGGTCCTTAGGGTCTTTCGGGATTTAGGAAACAAATTTAGGACTTAAATGAAATTTTGAAATTAATCAGGGAAAATAAGTAATTCTGGAAGAGATTTGGGTCAAAACTATAATTCTGAAAGTTAAGGGACTAAATTGTAATTTCTAGAAATATCATGGGGATAATTCAAAAATTCAATAAATTTTGGGCCAAAGGAGGTAATTAAAACTGGGGCCGAAAAGCAATTAATAGAAATGAATTTTTTTTAAATACCGGGCTAATTCGTTTCTGGGCCCAGAACCCTCCTTTTTTTATAAGATCTGGGCCCATACGAAGATGGGCCCAAAAACCCATGGAACCAGATCCCTAGATCCGGTTCCTAACTTGTTTTTTTTTGGGTCTTCTCCTACCACAGAAACGATGAAGAGGGGAGGAAGCTGCCGCCGGCGACCAAAGCCAAAGGCGAAGACTACACCGACGACAGAAGCCAGAGGCAGAATGACGCAGCGATCTTATATCCTGCAAAAGAAGAAGACGCCGTGAACTGTGAGTTTTTTTTTCAGCGGTGTGAACTAGAAATATTTCCAGCAACTAAAGCTGCGTCTTCCCCTATGCGAAGCTATGTGAAACTGAAGCGTTTGGAATTTTTTTTTAAGACAGCAAAGTGAAGTCGAGACACCATCTCGGCCAGCGACCGCGGAGACGCCAGTAACTACAAAGAAGACGCAGGGGAAGGATAGATTAAAGAACAGATAATATAATCAAATTTTATATTTGCAACTCTCTCTTGAATATAATATGATGATACATATATGAGTATATATAAATCTCATATTCATTCTCATTTTCAATAATATGGATATACATATAAAGAAAGAAAAAAAAAATATATATATATATATAGATATCAACATATGAGAGAAATCTCTATCAATGTATCAATATATGCATTAGAAGAATTGAGATATAGAAATTTAAAATTCGTTACCAGGCTCTGATGCCACGTGTTGAATCTGATCATCTCAATTCACATGTATAATAATAATATGATAGAATAAAGTAATTCATACGTACCTGAAGAATCCATGAGTGCTAGAGAAATCTCGATTACCTTGAGTATAGGCAGGTACATAACCCTCAGGTCCCAGAGCCTTCAGAAAGTTCAGAGATAATGGAAGTAGAAGAAAATGAGTCGTGTCTCTGCGGTTATCAACTAATCATCTTATATAGATTAGATCGGTAACCGCCTTATTAAATAATAAATAATTATATTATCTATTATCTCTGACTCAGTCAGTTAAGAGATAGAAAATAACTGACAGCTTTTGAGTTATGGGTTGGGCCTCTGCCCATTGGACTCACTTGTGTGGTCCACCTATCACGGTCCACACAAGATCATAAAGACCAATCTATTGGGCTTATTAATTAATGCTAATTCATAAATAATATTCCAACACAAAATACATAAACAAAATTCAACTCAGATTTCTAAGCTAATAACTAATAAGTTACTATATATTTGGTGCAATAGAATCGTATAACTAGAAAAAAAAACAATATTTTTTTCATCCTTTATGGCCCAATCATTCACTACAAAAATAAATAACTTTGGTGGTGACTTTTAACGGTGACTCTAAAAAGCTGCCATTAAAAATAAACAATTTGTGACGACAAAAATTGTCGCTGTTGAAAGGGAGACTTTTTGTGGCAACAATATATAATTGCCGCTAATTATCAAACTTTCAGTGACGATAAGTGTATGTTACCATCGAAGGTTTAAGTTTTAGCGACGATTGCTGCTGATTGTCAACATATTTTAAAATATATTATAATTTTTTTAATCCAAATTTTACATTTAATACTAGTAACTTTAGAGCTTGATATCAATTTAGATGTTCTCAATTTGATAGCTAATGATGGGAAAGAGAAAGATGAAAAGAAGAAAAATGAACTACTCTAAAATTTCACTTTTAACTTTTACAATATATGAAATATATCTATGTATGTGATACTATATGATTTTTTTTTTGATGCTATCTTGCAACATAAATATAAAAAAATAGATAATATAGTATATAATTTTCTTATAAAATTATAATTTAAAAATGAAAAATAATTAAAAAAGTAAAGTGTAATATAAAAACAACACAATTACATTAATTAAGAGTTATTATTAATTAAAAGTAAAAATAAAATTTTAAATAAAACTAGCTAAAAAAATAAATAGTTATGAACTAATGTATAATCATATATATTTTTACTATTTACTATTTATTCTTAGATATTTTTATATTATAATTATAAATATGAACATTAAAATAAATAATACAAATGATATATATCAATTATATTTATAGTTTACTTTAGACAAAATAAATAATATAATTTACAATTTGAATAAATTAAAAGAATTAAATTGAAGTATTTAATGATAGTAATGAGATTTTATAATATTTGCTATTAGTATTTAATGTGTGTACGTGTGTGTTTGTATAATATATATATATATATATATATTTAATTATGCAATAATAGATTACAGGTTTATTCCACCTTATGGGCAAAATAGTGGGATACAAAAGGAAAAGGTCATGGTTTTAAATCTTGAAAGAGGTAACTTGTGAAATGAAAATATAAATTGGTGGCATGATAACATGTGACATTAGGTAGGGTGACATGGCGCCACAGGGTGTGAGGTCGAGGTGACACATGGAGGGCAACGTGGCACCACATGTAGGAGTGATGTGGCACGACGTGGAGTGGTGATATGGCGACATGTGGAGGGTGAGGTGACAACATGTGGTGGTTAAACCAACTTTACTTTTCAACAGCGACAAAAAAGTCACTATTAATTGATAGTTTTTGCGATGACATTTACTTAACATTCAACGGCGACAATTTAGTCGCTACTGATGTGTGGTTTCTGTGGCAATTTTTGCTATCATTAATTCTCAATTTTCAATAACAACTATCTTTCTACAACAATAAAATTTTTTTTCTATGGTGACATTTGTTGCTGTTAATTCTTAACTTTCAGTGGTGACTTTTATTATCGCCGTAAATAAAATCAACAACAAGAACTCTCACAGCAACTTTTTGTTGTCATTGAAAACTTTCAGCGACAACTTTTCAATAAGTCACCACTGAAAGTTAATTTTTTTTAGTGATTGTTGTACCTTGCAACTTTACTAATGTAAATTCATGGCAAGAAAGCAAGTAATCAGTTAAATGTATATAATCATTAATTAACTACAAATAATTTAGCATTAATGACCTCAAGTAAATCATTAATGCAACAATAATTCAAAAATTTAAAGATCTTCATATAAAAGAAGAAATGACGACATACTTTGTCTTTTTTACTTCGCTAATCATATCAACCTTTTTTTTTTAAATCGAAAGCCACGGGGAGTTACTATAATTCTTGAATCCAATAATTATCTGTTATTGAAATAGCAAGTATATTCTCCAACAGTGATCCTCTGTCCAATAAATATGAAGTGGTAATATAAGAAATATAAATATATATTGAATCCATTTTCAACCCTATTTACAAGATGACGGTTAAAAAAAAAAAGGAGTCCTATTTAATTTATAACACGATTTTAATTGAATCACATGGATTAAGAAAAGTGGCTAAAATTAATTTAATAATTTTATCTTTTCCAAAATTATCATAAATGCTTCAAATATTTTGTATAGCAACTCGCAAAAAAGCAATGAAAATTTTATATTTAGGAGTGAAAATGTAATATTTATTATTGAATACAAAAGATTTAAATAAGTGCTCTTCTTATCACTAAGAATTATTAATGATTACGTTAATTAAAAAACATTATTAGTATGTTGTACCCAAAAAAATTGATAGTAGTGGTTACCTCTCCAGCATTTTTTAAAAGAGAAAGAGCAGAGTGGTCCCAGAGAAACGCTGAGAAAATATAACTCAAGGATTCTATGGATTTTGCCCCAAGCAATAATTGAGATATAAGCGGTTTCAAGGAATCTACTGTCTCCTGATAGTACTTGCGTAAAACAACCTGCACCCCACAATACAATACGCATTTCAAGTTTTATTTGATAAGTAATCACCAACATGAGGCTTCCACAATTTGACTTTGAGCTATATATACATATACCGAAAATGATACTGCCAATGGTCTCAGAGTTTCCGTAGCTTCTTCCCGGAACTTCCCTCCTCGCTGCAGGTGGTTATTTGCATAAAACTGTGAATATTCCAGAAAAAAATATATTTGATGGGGCCAAGTTCCCATAAATATCCATTATGCGTAGTTCTCACACACGTATATATACCTTTAGAAATTTTAGCAATTCAGGCACCAGATCTTCCGAGAACGACTTCACTTCTTCATCGCCGCAATATTTAATCAAGCGACCAGTTACTATAACAGCATGCAACTGAGACCATATGTATAAATTCACACCTAAAAACAAGTTAGTTACTACATAGTGTAGGTATGTTATGAATGCATGCAAAGATGGCAAGCTCCACTTGGTGTCTGTTTATACCTGCAAACGGGGATAAATTGAAGCTGATCTAATTATGGCGACTAGTCTCGGGACGAACTTATTTAGATATCGGACATGCTTTTGATCGGAGTCTGAAGTTAGACATATAATTGCATCAATCGCAGCCCAAAGAACGCGAGGGTGGGCATCAGTCAGCGAGATCTCTAGCACCCTCTCAGCATGGTCACATATCATTTCCTACATGGCAGCCATGGAGAAATTAAGAAAATGATTACAGAGAAGATGGAGGGACGATAAGAAGACAAAAAATTTGCGAAAACAGGGAAAAGATGAGATTACGGGCCGGCCACATGCGCTTACAGTTGCAGCGAAGACAATCAGTCCTGCGTGACGAACCTGCCAATTTTCAGAAATCAAATACTGTGGTACCATCTCAAATCCAATGGAAAGTGGTATGTCTTCGGGTGAATGCCAGCAGACCCGGAACAATAAGAACTTTCCTAGGCGATACTTCTCTGAGATCCCCATATATCCACTCGATGTACTCTCTACATCATACCAAGCAGGAACATCTGCGATACAAAGCAGCAAGCGCACGCAATTCTGGAAAAATACTGCATCTAGCCTCCACAGAAAGTTCAACAAGAAACTCTGAAACTCGCCTCAAAGCCTGTTCATCGAGCATCTTAATAATTTTAATCGCTTGGAACGTGAGAAAAATGTTGCCATCTGCAGTCACGGCAATTCGGAACATGCAGTCCAAGACAACATCAAGTTGCATCAAAAAACGGTCCGTATGATATCTAGCCAATTCCACCAAATCCATTATTCTTGGTTCCACGATATGGGTTCGACCGTCCAAGTGAAATGCTCGCAGGAAGGAAATCATCTTTGGTAATAGGACATCGATTTCGCTGTAAAACCTCCATCGGTGCAGCAGGCGTACCAATTTAACGGAGGCATCGAATGTCAGAGCCTGGATGTTGAGATTGGGGGAATCAAATAGCTCGCCGAATCTAACGTTAAGCGACTTATGGTTGGCCCACCAAAATATGTATGCCCCGAGACACTCTTCCCTCGACTCGGGCAAAGTCGATAACACCCTGAGTGCCATTTCTTGCCTTGTTTCGAAGTTCGTGTTAAGGGCGTGTAAAAGATAGTCAAGAAGTTCACCCCACCTCTCGATTTCAAATATCCTGGCGGCTATTTCAGATAAATTCAGAAGGTAAGGTAATGATTCGTGGTTGTGGATAGCGTTAAGAAGCAGGGGTTTGAGATGGAAAAGGACGCGTTTATCAATTATAAACCGATCTTGGCCGTGAATCTTATTTAGAGCATGGTGGAGCAGATCAACGGTGAAGATTCCAACACCAGAGGGAAGACGCGAGATGAGGAGGCGAGCGAGCATGAGAGATAAAGCATTTGGATATCGACGGGCAAGGAACTCCCAGAGAGCCTTAACTTGTGATGGTGCGTTCTGATTTATAACGGTGGAGTTAGCGAAGTCGCAGACGAGAGATAGGAAGCGCTTCGGGTTATTGGAAAGGAAAAGCTCAACGGCCGCGGAATGGAGCTCATCTTTCTCAGCTTTACTGAGTTCTTGATGATCTTGGACCAATTTGTGCCTTCTCTTGGCTTCTTTACTCGACTCAGGAGGAACCTCATCTGGCACTTCATATATATCTTTCCCGTGTCTACGCTGGTGCTTTTTTCTGAATAACTTGACATCCTCTGACTCTGATTCTGGTGGGACTTCCTCTGACTCTGGTACTTGTTTGCGTCGACGATTCACACGACGTGGAGGAGGCGGTGGTGGTGACGGAGGCCGTGAGGAACGTTTAATACCAGAATTGGATGGCATTGTCGGGAAGTTCTGTGAGTTGGAGGGTGAGAAAGGAAGAAGGAAGGCAGGGGGGAAGATTTTGAATATTGGGTTTAAGATGTTTGGCTTGAAATCTCATGCACATACTGACTCAAATTCCGTTACGACTGTTAGTGACATCAGCATTTCTCTCTAGCCTTTCCCATTTTTCCCATTTAGGATGGACCGCGGGCTTGGCTTCGTTCATTCCTATAGGTCAAGGTGGCTATGAATGATAATACACTTACTGTCCAACTCCAACCGGTCCATAATATTTCTGGCATTTTGAACTTGCTGCGCAGTGAGAGGGTAATCAACCAGGTATATATAACTACGCCGTGGGATCTAAGATTTAAGGTTATTTTCAACGAAAAAAAAATATTAATATAGAGTTTTCAAATCTTTTATGATTGCACAACTACATGTCGTATTTAAATGATTTTGAAAGAGGTGGAAAACGCTTCAACATTTTTTTGTTTATTGAAAAGTAAAATTTGTGCCACTATTTTTACTAACCTAGTTTTCTACATAGTAAAATAAATCATCAGTAAATTCATTCATGCATCTCTCTCTAGGAGATCTGTTCATTCAAAATCGGGTTGATGAAGTGCGATTCTATCTTGAAAGCTTTAAAAAGGCACAAGTGACATCCTTAAGTTTTTAATGACACAATGTTCCCTCTAACATTTGGAAATTAAAATATCGCAATGTCAACACAATGTTCCGTCTATGTGATCTCTTTCTTTCTGCTAAAGCTTCGACTGAACAAATGGAGGTCATGAAAAATATTATGCAAAAGTTTCTGCTTTATTTCAGAGCACATGATTGACCTGGATAAGTCTAAAATATCTTGCTCTAGAAATGTTCATTTTGCTGGAAGGCAAGAGCTTAGTCAGATATCGGGGATTGGTTTATTAGCCGATCTTGGAAAATATTTAGGTGTGCCTATCTTCCACTCCAGCATTACAAAGAACCACTTTCAATCCAATAATCTAGAAGGTCAAAGAAATGCCTTCTTTTGGAAGAGCAAGTTCCTAAATCAAGCAGGCAAAATAGTCCTGATCAAAGTAGTCTTATCTGCGTTACCTAGCTATCAGATGCAATCGGTTCATATTCCCAAAGGAGTACTTGATGTAATCAAGAAAATAGGAAGGAACTTTTTGTGGACTTATGATGAGGAGTCTAAAAAAATGCATTTAATCTCCTGGAATAGATTACCAAAAGTAAGAATGAGGAGGGCTAAGTATAAAAAAGCTGAGATGTCAGAATGAAGCCTTCATGTTAAAAACTATGATGGGGTTTTTTGGTGACCAAACTTGAGGCATTATCGGTCAAATGTCTCAAGGTTGAATATGGTTGCGTAAGTGGCAGCATTCTAGCTATTGGAAAGTATGCCTATGCATCTTTAACTTGGCATTCTATTGCTATTATTTGGGACTCCTTCTGAAAAGACTTGGGAAGAAAGTGAATAATGATGCATCTACTAGTTTTAGTGAGATTTGTGGATACCACTTGACCAGCCTCTTGTGTCTTATGTAATTAAATCTTGCACTTTTAACTCACATGATAAATTTTAGGACCACATTCTACCTAGTGTGACAATGGAACTATGCAGGATGAAGCGACTTTTTTCTCAGAAATATCTCTCTCTTAAGGTCAACTAAACCACCTTCTTCTATTGAAGATGACACCTTGAGGTGGAGACCAGCAATGGATGAAATTTTTTCTTCACAGTGCCTATAATTCCTAACTCACAGTGAAGAGGTTAGGAACTAGCCTTTATGGGAGAAATTATGGAAGTGGAATATTCCTGAAAAGGTCAAACTTTTTATGTGACAAGTTTCCCACCAAGGATTAGTTACAAACTCACTTAGAGTAAAGAGAGAGAAATTTCAAACACTGAGTTGCCATTTTGAGTATAATAGTAAGGAAAATGTTATCCATATCTTGAAAGGTTGTGAGAGTGCCAAATCAGTGTGGTCACTTATTTTAAAATTAACAATCTTTTCAAGTTTTTTCAATGGAAATTTATAGGTTTGGCTAAGCTGGAACTTGAAGTATGACTAGGAAAGGAAGATTTGGAATGTGGTGTGGATGAGAGTTTTTTATTCTAGTGTGTTGGACTCTATGGAGTTCAAGATGCAGATTTATTTTTTAGGGCCAAATTACACGTACAAATGAGATCTATCATCAATGCCTCCGTCTTCTCATGGAAAGCACTATTAGGAATGAACTTCGACACAAGATTTTTTATGGATGCATAAACAAGAATCAAGTTGGACAGCTCCCCTAACAAATGTCATTCACATAGATTGATGGATTTGTCCTTAGGGATCATCAAGCATCATGTGGGGGGCACTATAAAATTTTGTATGGGGATTGGATCATAGGTTTTCAATAGGCTTTAGGTTTATTTCACTATGATTGAAGTAGAACTTAGTGCAATCTAGGACTCCTTGTGTCTAAATAGCTCGGTCTACCAAGATTCAGATTTACTTCAATCATTTGAGGCACTGAACCAATTGACGAGAGATTATCTAGTCAATCATCCATTGCGAAGTGAGCTTAATGGCATTTGTGACTTACTCTATACAAATTGGGAACCTGATCTTCATTATACTAGAAAGGAAAACATCACATGTGCTGATTTTTGGCAAGAATTGGTTTCATGATGCTTACAATGGGATCTTGATGATTCCCACAATTCCTACTGCTGCTTGGATCAATACCTTAAGGACAAATTCCAAGTTGAGTTTTA